TATATATATATATATATATATATATATATATGGAGTATGGTTGTGTTTTTCTCCCGTTCATACCTTCGTTCTCCTCCCAGACCATGACCTCCATGAGCCCGGAGAAACCTGCTCTGTGCGCCGGCTGTGGTGGCAAGATCTCGGACAGATACTACCTCCTGGCCGTGGACAAACAGTGGCACTTGCGATGCCTCAAATGCTGTGAATGTAAGCTGGCGCTGGAGTCGGAGCTGACATGCTTTGCCAAGGATGGGAGTATTTATTGCAAAGAGGATTACTACAGGTAAGAAAAAGTCGGATAAATATCGGTGCGTAAATGTTAAACCAGGGCATAGGCTGCATTAGCTCTGATGGACTAAATACTTTATGTGTAATTTTTGCAAACAAACATCATAGCTATCCTAATGCAAAAAAAAAAAAAAAAAAAAAAAAGAGTTTATTCCAAATTGGCTCAGACAGGAATGCTCTGACTCTATAATGTTAACCACATGGAGATGAATGTATGAGTCATCCCCTCTCTTTCCTTGCGCCTTTTCACTAGTTTGGAGCTTTTTACGCCGTCGTTTTATTTTAAATAACTCATTTGTGGCTCTTGTCTGGGCACTGTACAGCTTTTCCCACATTTTCACATTGAACTAAAATAAAAATTGAAGCTATATATATATATATATATATATATATATATATATATATATATAGCCATCTTTAGTGCCGACAGGCTGCAGCCATGTCCTGAATTCCTCCTTTTTCAGCCACTTTCGTTGAAATTAGCATTTTCCCATTCTCTAGCTTTTTCTGCGCCTCGAGCTTCTTTTCTGAACATGCGGCTTTACGTTTAACCAGAGGCAGCTATGCGCAAATACTCTAGATCAGGATCTATGGGGGATGGCCCAGAATTTGCCCTGGTCTGAGCAGCAACAAGGTTTGGACTCCATTTGGTTTAAATGTACTGCACACTGATTTTCTTAACAATAAAATCCTTTGCATTTTGTGGTTCCAATATGACAAAGTGTCAAATGTTTAGTGAGGCACTGCATCCCCAAGCTGTCCGCTCTGTGTCTGTTACCTTTAACCAGCAGGTAGCAGGAGGTGCTGATGGTTCCAGCCTCGTTGGTGGCGGTGCACGTGAAGCGGCCGCTGTCTTCGGCGAACGCCTCACGGATCGTCATCCGGGCGAAGCCGCTCTCGTAGCTCAGCTGGAAGTCGATTGAACTCTCTATCTTGTAGTCCTCTCTGAACCACATGATGACGGGGGTGGGCTGACTGCTGATCTGGCACTCCAGGGTCACCGACTCGCCCTCAGTCACCGTCAGGTTCTTCAGTCCCTGAAACCAAACAGAGGAATAATTAGAGAGCTGAACACAATATCCAGTTCTCTCTTCAGTTCATGGATCATATATTACCAGAAAAAAACGTCAGGACGGACAATTTATGAATCTGAATAAAACCTTTGGTCTGGATTCATTATTCTGTAGATTTTCCAAAGGTTTCCAAGGGTCCTGTTTGGACTTTGGCTGCTTGGTGTTGGTCTAATACCTGCTCATTATTAGCATTAGATGGTTCAACCAGTGCTGTAGTGACAGATTACAGACAATTCAGCAATAAACAAGCTTAAATGTGCTTTTATCTCACTTAACTGTCAAATTTAATTAACATTTTCAAAATATAATGAGGCTTTTTCACCTCATATAACAGCAGACATGTCCACATATAGATGTACAGCCAATAGAAGGGTCTACCTGATGGCTCATAAGATTTTTAAGCTTTTTTCTCACCATCTGCTGCCATACCACCCAGCTATACCGATCTTTAAGGACATTTCTTCTTCATCTGATGTTTTATTCTTAGCCAATTTTAAGTTCCTTATACCGTGATTAAGAAAAGTTTAGAAAAACATCATCATACGATAGTGTGATTTAGTCTCTGAGTTGTTTACTATATTATAAACATGTTGGATAAATGTTATCTTTTCATAAAGTCTGTTTTCTGCTTGACTCTAAGACCCAAGCTAACATTAGCATAGAGTTAGCTTAGCGCTAGCTCAGTGTTAGCGTTGTCATGTTTTTAATGCATGTTTTAGGCAGTCAGATGTCATTTAGACCAAAGAAAAGATAAAAGTGGTACAAAAAAAAATAGTTTATGAAAAACGGACTAAAAAACTGGAATGATTTAATATTTGTTGGTTAGGATTATCAGTAATAATTTAATTTCAAACACGGCACTGTGAGTGCAAAAATGCTCTAGTTGGCTCCCCGTCTCCTTGACCCCAAGAAAAGGAGGGAATTGCCATGGCAACAACTACGATTTCTTAAATCCTTGGTGTGGTTCTGTATGTACGTCCTGGGATTAAATTTTTTTAACCTTTATCTAAAACCTACTAAGACAATGACCAGGAAATATTTGGATTCAAGAAAAATAATAACTAAGTTTTACTTTGAAAAGACAACTACAGGAAGTGGAGCGAATGGTTACTTACTGCCATGATAGTGGGCGGGACAGCAGGCTCCTGGGCTCTCATTGGCACAGCGACCGCCTCCTGTGAAAACAATGACAAGAGTTGAAGAGAAAAAAGCTTCTGACGGTCTGCGTGGTTCTGTGAGGATGGAGGAGAAGAAAAGGATGACATCTCTGGAAAAGGACCAGAGGAGGAAGGGGAGGAGTCTTTATGAAGGGAGGCGTGTGATTGGCTGCCGTGTTAGAGAGCGGGACTGTGGTAAGAAGTTAAAAAGAAGAGGACGTTTGTAAAGAACCAACCTGGGGCTCCCAGTCCTCAAACTCCTCCTCACACACTGCATAAGCCCCGCCCCCAAACTGGCTCTGATATCTGACGTCCTTAAATGGCGGTGGGAGGGGCTCCAGTGTGACTCTAGTTTCCACCCTCGATCTGCGGGACGGACTAGGAGACTTGACGGGTTTGATGATCTTCCTGGTTGCAGTGGGGGAGGACAGCTCTTTGTGCAGAGCAGCGATGGCCGAGCCAGTGATGGACACCTGAACCGGCCAATCAGAGCAGGGATAAACACCGTGATCAGGAATAAACAGGAAGTCCACTCTCTGCTGTGGATTAGTGAGTGAAGAAGGCGATGGAGGCTTTGAGTGAAAGTCAGAAATCACTGAGAGAAGGCGGCAGGCAGCCGGGGAAGAGCGATACCATCTATGATGCCATGCAAAGGTTTTCACACCCCAAATCCCTTTTATCAAACTCCAAAGATTTTATTTACAGTGATTATATGTGACAGCAAAACACTTTTGATCTTCTGAGATGACACCAAAGTATGGTTTGGTTAAAAACAAAATGATTTGTTTGAAAGAAAATTAACACCACACCATGAACGCACTATCAGCTATTCTAAAGCATGGGAGAGGCAGCATCATGCTGTGGAGAGATTTTTCTATAGGAAAGGACGTGGAAGCTGGTCGGCAGTAAAGGGAGGGTCGATGGATGGAATAAAAATGCATTAAAATCCATCCGGAGCTTCAACCAAGAGGTTCAGATAAAAACTTGTTTATGTCTTAGAACGGCCTAGTCAAAGTCCAGACTTACATCCAATCTGTGCTACAACTGCAACATCAACATAAAGAGAACTTCCAAAAAAGTAAAAAGAAAAAAACAATGGACTTTGTGTCCAAGTTTGAAGACATTTCGATGAAGAAACTTTAACTCTGGTTTGGTTTTATGATTGGATCCATAAAATCCACAGATGTGTGTGAAAACGAATGGAGACAATTTCAAAGAGAAAAAACAAAGATATTGTTGGAGTTATTATGATTTCTGTTGTTTTTATCATTTTATTCATTTATATCTTTTATATTGCTTTTAATCATTTGTTTTTCTATGATACTGTCATCAGTGGAAATAGGGTATGCAGGTCATAAGACGGCCAAATGTTTAGCGAGAATGCTTTCCCGTTTTTCATTTAAGAAACACAGAAGTTAAAAGTTCATGACCCCCAACACCTTTTTTAAAAGCGTATCCTGAAACCAGACATGTTCCCTATCTTTAAAGTTCATGCTATGTCTAAGAGATTGCTTAATTGAAACCAACACCTGCTGTTGTAATGTGTCGACTGTTCAATAAATAAGCCTGCAAGCGTAGAGCAAGACGAAGATGCACAGAGAAATCCCAAAGCTCTGTGTATTTTCCCTTTGCAAAGCACGGTCAGGAAAAATCTTACACTGTCTTTGTTTCATTCTTTATAGGTTAAAGTTGGGGAAACTTTACAACCCTAACAGATATTTTCCTCTTTCTGTCCCTGCTTAGCAGAATATCATTGCACCGTTCAAAGAAAGGAGGAAAATCAGGAAAAAAGGCAAATATTGAAAGCAACTCTGATCCATCAGGACTGCATGAAGACGCTCATTTTGAAACTCCTGTCAGGATAATTATCATTGATGATGTGTGAGTTTATTACACATTAATATTAGCTGCCTGTTGCGTGTCAGAACTGATGTTTTCCACAATAGTTTATCTGATTAGGCCAGTTCCTCCTTCTGGCTATATACAGTTATAATCTTTCTGTACGTGGCAAATATTTGGGAAATGGAATGAGAGCAGAGTCCTTGTGTAATACTTTGATAAGGCTGGAGCCATGGATGTCTCCTCATTTGCTAACGTGTGTGATGTGCTGATGTGGCAGACTGAAGTATAAAATGCTTCTTTAACTGTCAACCAGCCTCACTTCTGTGGAAGTGAGGCTGGTTGGTAAGCAGCTGCCTTCTGTAACTCTAAGCAACTTCTCTGATCTGAGTAATATTACAATTTCTATCAAAATCTGTTGCAATGTCTCATGATTATTCAATACATATAAATCATGAAGTGCTATTTAAAGAGTTTGTCCTGAGTGATCTCTTTTCAGAAAAACGAACCAGAGAGAGAAAGCTTTAAGACGTTAAAACAGAATCTACCTTTCTTTGGCTCATTAATGCAGAGATAAATTTACAGAGGAAGAAAAGTCAGGAATGGACCGTCACAGAGAGAAAGATGGTTCATGATGGATCAACATTCCAGGTCTGTGTAGCAGCCAGTCTGTGGTAAAGAACCTGCATTAATGCAGATTTTAGAGCAACATGTTCTGCTTTCAGGATATTTCACACCATTTTTCACAAGACAATGAAGAACCCCTGCAGCACAGCCTCCAAAGACGTGATTGAGAAGGAGGAAGGAACGACTGCTGTCCTCAAACGATAAGAGATGAGCGATGACGTTCATTTATGTTAGTTGTTTGAAGAATGAAGGAAAAATTGCATTTTCCTGACGTGTTGCAGCTTAAATACAGGAATGAATGAATAACGACCCAAATTAGGATGATGTGGGGAAAAAAAGGTGTTTCCATATAATTCCAGCATCTTAGGAGTTACAGTTGGTGAAAAAACAGGAAATGAGAGAAATGATGTAAAGTAAACCGAGTGTCGGAGCAGGATAGAGGATCAGTGGAAGATCTGTGCAGGTTTAGGAAGGGTGACAGTGAGGAGGAACCAAAGCGGACCACAGCGGTTACTGATGCGTGTTTGTTAAAGATGGCATGGAGGTTCTGGGGCAGGGAGAGCGGGCCCGGGGCCCTCGGCTGAACCTCTTACCTCGCGGCTCGGTTCCTGTTTAGGAACAGAAACTTTAGAGACGGTGAAATGAGGGACAGCGGCGCCAGAGTCCGCGTGGGAGGAGACCTGGGTGGTTCTCTCAATCTGGAGTGACCAACACATCAGCAGTTAAGGAGAGTCCCAAACCATCAGTTCTGATCTAACAGGAACTCAGTGTGGTCCTCAGACCTGCTGAACCTGGACCTGCTGCATCTGCTGGACCTGCTGGACCTGCTGGGTCTGCTGGACCTGCTGGGTCTGCTGGACCTGCTGCATCTGCTGGACCTGCTGGGTCTGCTGGACCTGCTGCATCTGCTGGACCTGCTGCATCTGCTGGACCTGCTGCATCTGGACCTGCTGCATCTGCTGGATCTGGACCTGTCGCTGATCTTCAGCTGCTGCGGCTTCAGCGGTGGCTGTTTTAGTAACGACCTGTTTTTCTGTGACGGCTGCTGCCTGCTGCTTCACCTCCTCCTCTTCATCAGCCCAGCCGCCCTCCTCATGCACGGGCCGCCGAACGCGAGCGAGGTCGACGGCGGCCACCACGGTGGCGACCGCCTCGGCTTTTTTCTCCCCCTCACCCTGAGGGTACAACAAGCAGCAGAGATGTGAGGAAGATGAGGGTGAAGGAGGAGAAGATGAAGGCTCCTTCACACCTTCGTCTTCATTTGAGCGACTCAAACGTCTCATTGTGGTTTAATGGATCTAATCTGACAGGAAGTGGGACGCAGACGTCCTTCCTCTGCAGAGGAATCGGACGATTCCAGCAGCCGACACGGGCCGGATCAGAACTGAGCAGAACCCCCCCCCATGCTTACCTCTCTGCCACCGGCCACATGGTGCTCCCACTGTTTCTCCATGTGCATCTGAGTGGAGCTGCTCATACTGCTCATACTGGTCATACTGGTCATACTGGTGTAGCCTTCAGCCACGTAGTCCTCCTGCTTCCAGGGCGGCAGGACCTCTGCAGAGGCTGAAACCTGAGAGGAAGGTTTAGATTAGTCTGGGAGTGGAAAAACGACGGCAGCAACGGAAACGGATCACAGGTTCATTCTGGTTCTGATCCAAACTAAGTTCACTGAAGACAGTTTACTGGTTCAACATTTA